TCTTCTCAAAATTATTTTCAATTTCATCCCTAATTCATTTTTTTCTCAAAAATTCAATCAAATTAAAATAAAATAAAATATTTTAATTATTTATATATATATATTCCATAACCCATAAAATTATATCGGACTAATTTTTGGGCCCGGTTGTTATACATATAATAATGAGCAAAACATGGGAGTATTCATTTTTTTTCAATTAAAATTTATGTATAATACAACAAATTTTAGTAGAAAAATATCTTTTTTATGAATATAATAATATATCACTCCATCTATATGCAATTATTTTTGTATAAATTGACCAAATCATAACCATAAGTTAGTATTATTTATTCAATAAAAGGTGAATGAGCACTTCTTATATGAATTGTATAATTATTCATAAACATACCAACTTGCTTTATCATTACAATATATGTATAGCTTTCTATTATATGATAAAGCACTTTAACTATTTAAAGTTACTCTAAAAAAGGATAAATTATTGTGTGATGAATATGTCTGGCAGATTGCTTTCCATAATTATATTTGTAATCATTACAAATTTTTGGTGTTTGGAATAAATTATGGATTTATAAAATATTATAAGATATCAGCTTCTCTTCTTCAATATATATTTAAAAAATTTATATATTATTATATATTTTTTTTATATTTTAAAAATTTAAATAGATAATTATCATATATTTATAAGTTAATTAATTAAATAATTATCGTTTATATTATTATATTAATTTTATTTTGATATATTTAAAAATATTTTTATATGAAATTAAAATAAATAATAATTAGATATTATTCTGTTAAATACAAAATAACTTTAAAAATAAATAACTAATATATGTATAAATCATATTAATTTTATTTTTATATTTTAAGATTTGAGTGAATAATATCTGTAATTAATATTAATATATTATTTTTAATGTTACGAACACTTTAATAATTCGAAGTTTTTATTTTTTTAAAATCAGAAAATGTACTTTCATAAAAGACTAATTATTGGATGAATCAAATTGGTAAAAGCCGCCTTACAATCATTATTATTATTATTTTCCTTTTGTCTTCTGCAAATAAGAGCGGTCGGGTCCTGAACTTACCGTTTCAGGATTTCTCAAGCGATGATGTCCAAGTGCACTTCATCTTCATCCTCAGACAT